CTGCACCAACATCTGGACCTGCACCAACACCTGGACCTGCACCAACACCTGGACCTGCACCAACATCTGGACCTACCATTCTGTGTTCGTCTGTCTCTCCTCCCTGTCCTCTCAAACCAGCCGGTCAAAGAAGATGGCCGCTTGTCCTGAGTCTGGTTCTACTGGAGGTTTATTCCTGTTAAAGGGGAGTTTTTCCTTGCCACTGTTGCCACTGTGCTTGCTCAGGATGTTAGACTGTGATGAAGAGAAGATTCAACACAGTCTGCTGCTTCCTTAGATAGAGAACTTTACTAATTGTCTTTTATAATGTGTGTAAATGTTTCTGTTCAGTGCCCTGAGATAACTTCTGTTGTAACTTGGTGCTGTATAAACACACTGAATTGAATTAAACATTGCTCCTGTTCACTGACATGTGCAGACATCTGTTGCACAGCTCTCTTTAAAGACCTCCCCGTTATTGAAGTCAGGTTGAGCTCTTGATTTTTACTGGAACGGTGCAGCACCTGGATTATTTCATGTTTCAGCCTTTCTGTTGTAGATCAGCTGCTGTGTTTGGGATAAGGGTTCTGCTGCAGAATGACCCCGTTTGGTACAAGCTTCAGCTGTTGGACAGATGGACTCACATTTGACTCGAGAATCCTTTGGTCTACAGAAAAGTTTATAGTTTACTCACTGATGCTCAAATCTTCAGCCCTTTACACTGTACTGACAGTTGGTTTGAAGCTTTTGTGCTCATAAGTTTGTTTTCTCTAAACATGGCACTGTGCGTTTTGGTGTATACCTCTACTTTTGTTCTACTTGTCCAAAAGACATTGTTCCAGAAGTTTTGTGGTTCATATATAATAGAGTCTATACTGCAGCCTCAGATGGAGCTCTTGGGTTTCTGATCATGTATTCTGAGCACTGCACAGTCTTAACTTGGGGTGAATATTCTAGACGCTCATTCCTGTAGAGAGGCAGCTGTCCTAAATGCTTTCCACTTGTGAGTAATCGTTGTCTCTGTAGAATGATGGACTCGAGTTGGTTTAGAAATGACCTTTAACTTTGGATGGGCTGCAACAGTTGCTTCTCAAACATCATTGCTGATGTCTTTCTATCTTGACATTGTGTTGACAGACACCCGTATGCTCCAGAGCAGCAAACTGGAAAAACTCCTGCTTTAATAGAGGTGATCACACTCATGGTGATTACTTACAAACTGCATTTAATCAGCAGCACTTGGCTGATACTGAACCTTTTAAATACCGTGTCGTTTTTCACATACCTTTTTATTTTATTTGTCTTTATTCTTGTTTAGTAAAGAATGACAGGGTGGAGGGGTTGGTTATGTGTTTTTGTTCACTTGAGGTTAGATTGGAATAAGTTCAAAACCTGGTAAAGACCAGATCATTTTTGTTATGTCCTCCCAGTACATACATTCTGAGAACTGGAAGAAGGTGGATGGTTTTTTTCTCCATTAATGTTAGCTTTATAAACTCAGAATTAATAATTTGTGCATTTATTTTCAGAATAAACGCAAACTGTACTTACTTACACAGCGGGAGACTCATAGTAGTGCTCAGCACGGTGAATTGGGATTAAGGAAAGTCTGCGACTCATTTCCTAAAATAAACAGAAAGACTTTTAAAACATATCTAAAACCAACATACATCTCTTATGGGGCAGGAAAAAAGAGATGAATAAGAAAGCAAGCGCTGCAGAGCTTCTTTTAGGGTTAATGAATGTGGCCATCATGGCTAAGAGTTGGAGCTGGCAGGTTAAGTCAGTACTAGAGGCTCAGTAAGGCAGGAAGAGTCGAGCACAGAGCTTTGGAAGCAAAGATTCAGCAGCTCTTGGAGCTGGAGCAAACCAAACCCCAGCTAGTACTCACTATCCATAGATTTATTCCCCAACATGGGCTCCTGCTCCATCATTTCCATAGAGATTTTTATAGTGGGGACACTTTCATGGTAGGGGTAGTCAGACTGTGGGAGGATGAGGGGATATATTTAGCACTTTGTTCTTTATTAAAAGGTGAGGATCTACTGGATTCTCTGCTGACAAACACATAAACCAAGTGTTCAAATATTAACGGTCTTTTACGTACAAAGTCAATTTCACTGTCAAGGCTCCCCTTCTTTTTGTTTTTCTTTTTCTTCTCATCCTCCTTCTTCTTCTTGTCCTTCTCTGGAATCACATCATCCAGGTAGCTAAGGTCGTGTTGGGAGAACACGTAGTCCATGGCCTTTCGGACAGCAACCAGAGCCAAAATCTATCAAATAGATTGAAATTAAAGTAAAGTTCAAACTGAGCTCTGTTTGGGTTTAACTACAAAATAAGCCATCTCTCACCATGACAGGGAAAACAATGGCAGCCCCAGTGGACTTGAGAATCCAGAGGAGGGCCAAACACACAGCCTGGATGAAGGTGAAGAGGTGGATACGTCTCTGAGGGACGTGGCGCAGGTAGATCAGGTCCGGTTGGTGCTTGGCAGGCATGAGGAGCAGCTGCAGGCGGTCCATGAACTGAAGCATGCAAACAGAAAAAATAAAGTCAAGGTGACACCAAAATAAACATGAAATATTCTTTTTGGTTCAACAACGAACAAACTCAGCACACAAGAATAATTCTGTTTTACTGGGTGGACAATGTTTCTGAATTTGAAGTGAAACAGCTAAACTGAATCAGGTCTCTGTCGTATAAACGAAGGTCATACTTGTAGGTTTTCATCCTAAACAAGCCCAAATTACATCAAACTAAGTCTGACACCAGTTCCAGAACCATGGAGTTCTGCCCAGTTGGGAAGCAAATATTACCATTAAAGTCTGGAGACCTACTGACCAAGACCATTTAGAAAGTCAAAAGAAGTCTGGGTGCTACCAGTAACAATTCTTTAAAAATAAAGAGTCAACATTTCTTCGACGCGCGTTTCGCCAGCCACCTTTCATACAAGGTTTTTACATAATCCAAGATGAACTTGTTTTGTCACTCAACCTTTATTTACGCAGGTTAGTCTCATCGAGTCTCAAGGATTCATTTACAGAGCAACAAAGACTGATGGCAACAGTGGACAATCATAAAAGAAAGCTTATAAATAGAAAAAATTAATGGAAGAAAATTATATTAAAGGGTGAAACATGAACGGCTACATTGTAAAGTGATGTAGAAAACTAAACTCAGGATGTTTGAATCCACTTCCAGAGGTCATGGTTGCTTTAGGCCCGTTACAGGCTTTGGGCCGGCACCAGGTCTTAAACAAGAGGCTTTGAAAACGGATCCAGAGCTGGATCGGGTTCAGAACCAGAGTCATCATGCAGGTTACAGCTCAGCCGTTGTGTTCGGGTTGATTGTACTCGTGAACGATTAACGGAGGAAGAATAAATAAACTGAAGATGAATTCATGGACATCGATACAGATCAAAAGTTTTTAAACAAATTTTATTCTTATGCATAAAAAACCTGCAGGAAACATCCTTTTTTATTTATGTAGTTATTTGACAAGGGCTTAAACTACAAGTTTTCAACTAAAATCTGCCATCAAAGGTCAAAGGTCAAAAAAGATCAAAGCTACTCATATTTTTGATTTGACAGATTTTATTTTATGTAAGTTTGAGAAGTTACTGAAGAGTTTGATCTAAACTAGAAGAAAACAAGGAAAGTAAAAAAAGCTGAAACAAAGTTTGTGTTGAGAAATGATGGACTTGTTAATTAAACGTAACATTCTGTGCACGCTCACATGCTCAACTCTTGTGATGAAGGACTCTCACCACATCAAGTTTGATCTCGAGCTCTTGACTTGTGGCTGCTCATCCACTGAAGACTGTGAGTTTGAATAAAATCCCTCCTGTGGTTCATGAGATATTTTGCTAACCGCTGAACACACACAGGCGTAAACACTATTTACTGTAAATAATCATTTTATATAAATGATAAGAGCTTCATGTGAAGGGTATGTGGACAAAAATAATCATAGAAATAAAGAAACTAAGAGTCTCAGCTGAAAGTTTCTAGATTTTTTTAGTTCCACTGTTCAACATATCCACACTTGTAAAATATAATGTGGTGTGTGTGTGTGTGTGTGTGTGTGTGTGTGTGTGTGTGTGTGTGTGTTACCACGAGCCATTTAAATAGACGCAGACATGTAACTCTACTTTTCGAGTAACTCATTGGTGTTCTGGAGGCAGCTGGACAGACTCACCTGCACACCATTGAGTGACGCCACTCCCATATAGAGAAACACGCCGTACAGCACAGGCATGGGAATAAACTGGAAAATAAAGAGTTTAAACAACACCAGTGTCATTCATGACTGACTGTGTAAGGTGGAAAGAAAGGAAAGGGCAAATAACAAAAGCTTCCATGTGGTTAAACTCCTGTAACAAGTGTTGGTATTTTCAGCTTCATTTAAAAATAACCTCCAAGCAGCTTTGCTGAGAACAACCTTTTAATGGAAGCATGCCACTGGTCACATAGCTGCCACTGGTTTATTCTTCATTTGTATTTTGTTCTTAGTAACAACCATTGAACCTTGCATCTTTTTAAAGCAGAACACAAAAAAGCAGTACATTTTGGAAAGGCAGTACAAAAACATGCAGGCTAAATAAAGCAGTAACGACTTTATGGAAGTGCCTTTCTGCCACTCGGATGAAAAAAGAAATATCTTTTGAGATAATATCTTACAGTTGCTGCATGCTAAGTCATAATTTTAAGATTGTATCAGTTAAGAAAAAGCTGCTAAGTCATAGTTGCAGAAACTATCTCATAATTATCCGACGTTAAGTTATAAATATGAAATGACACGACATAATCTAGAGACACCAAGTCAGAATTATGAAATAGTATCTCATAATTGTGAGACGCTGTCATAAAAAAGATTTTTTTTAAATCAAATATTAAATACAAAACCATATTTTAGATAATACCTCATAAAAATAAGATGATTTTAATTTTGAGAAACTGTGAAATAAGAGATGGTATCTCATATTGAAACTAGAAGATGCTAGGACATCTTTATGAGATGCTAAGTCATATAAATAATAATATAATATAATATAATATAATATAATATAATATAATATAATATAATATAATATAAATGTGATATAACATTGTATAATTAAGATACTAAGATTATTTCTATGGTATGATTTTATTAAGACTTTTTTTATTCAGAATATCAAAGTGTGCATACATTAGTCCCTCGTTTATTGAGGGGATCCGTACGCTGAAGCCCCGCGTTAAGTGGAAAACTGTGAAGTAGGAATACTAGTACAAGTAGTAAGTAGTAGTTTTTATATATATATATATATATATATATATATATATACACATACATAAACAGTATATAAAGGCATTTTAAACTATTCCCACACTCTTGCAATATTCTAAACAATGTTTCTAAACTCTTGCAATATTCTAAACAATGTTCCTAAACTCTAAAATCTGTAAAAGACACTGAATGTCATGATTTCAGCTCTGCCTCCTCTGCTCTTTGACACCTGCAAGCGCTCTTGGCCACGCCCACTTCTCCACTCTGCACGGAGAACAGCTGATCAGCTGCAGGAGGAAGCTTTGTCTGCAGCTGTGGGCTGCACAAATGTGCATCAGGTGCTAAATAATTTATAATAATTAATTTTAAATGAAAATCCATGCCGATTGTGCAGCTCCTCCATCAATCAGCCAATTGTGTGTCATGTCCAATCTTATTTTGGAAAACCGCGATAGTGCGAGGGAGTACTGTACACACGTTCTGCGAGATGATCAAATGTAAAATATTAAAGTCACATAAAAAAATATTTAGCCTCTCAATATGCAACAATAGAAGGGACAGATTTGGGAAATAAAATGTGTAGAAAATGTCCACAGGGAGGAGTGACAGCTCCACTTGGTAAATTTTTATTTATTTATTTATTTTTCAGCTTAATGAGGGAATGGAAACTGGAGACAGCACTCTGCTCCAATTGGAGCTTGCACTCTTGATGAACATGCCTGTTTCACATTGAATTACTTCAGCTACAGGAGCTGCTAATGGGATGAAGAAAAGACTTTAAATGGTTTTCAAAATTAAGAGGAGTGACGGCTGTTTGTCCCGAATAAGGGAGACAGTAATCCACATTTCCCACGGTTGAATTAAGAAGATGGAGCCTTACCTTGAGGATCGGAGCCATGAAGACAGAGAGTCCCGTCAGAAGGAACACAGCGATGCCAGTGACTCTTTGTTCTCTGGAAAACATTCATTCATTCCAATTCAAATCAAACAAGCAGTGTTGAGATTTTTTAACAGTCTCTGTTATTTAGTAGAAACTATAAAAAACAATGATTTATAGAATTAAGGAAGAATGTGAAGGAAAATCACCTTAATCAGCATTTAAAACATATCCATGATTTTGATGAATTGATTTAAACTGCACTTTTCTGCCTGAGAGGCACTTTGTCAGGTCAGCGCCACAAACATCAGTAAAGAAAACAACAAAAAAGGTTGAATCATGTCATCTGGACTTTGTTTTTTTTGTTAAAAAGAAACGTTTCGCCCCTCATCCAAGAGGCTTCGTCAGTGTGAGGCCTAGCCATCTGGTATTACCCAGAAGCCACCCTGACTCTTGTGTTTCAAGCCTGCCTCAGATACCCCTGAAGTCTGGCCTTTTCACTAATGGTTTCAAAAACACAAAGTTTGTTTTCTCACCTGGATGACTGAGAAAACAAACTTTGTGTATCAGTAAAGAAAGTTTTGGTGTTGTCTCACCTGACACCCAGAAATTTGGGCTGTTCTCCAGGTGCAGACGTCTCCGTCTCCATTTTCAGAGAGTCGATGTGAGCGATGGAGATGACTGTAGCAGCCACGTACCACGGCAGCCCCATGAAGGAGCAAACCACTATGAGGATGGCCACCCAGAACAGGTCCAGGTGATACCCTGCTCCTTTCTGAGCGGGTTAACAAGAGAACAGAAAGAAATGACTGTCACAATTAGAGGGGTCATATTGTGCTTCTGCCACAGAAGGGCAAAAGGTGTGTGATATATTTGCCTATGTATTCATATGTGAGTCTGACTGTTAGCAAAATATCTCAAGAACCACTGACTATATGTTCATGAAACTTTCAGGATAATACCTTGAATTAACTAAATATGATTTATTTATTTTTTGGAGTCAAATGGATTGAAGATAGCTGTGGCCTCCACAGCTAAGTAACCTTTGTGAAGACAAAAATGTCTATAACACAGTCACTTTATAGATATTGAGCTAACATTTGGTATGGTGGTAGCTGAGAGTCATCCACCACTCACCCTCCAAGTGCTACACAAAACCCTAGATCTTGGTTCAAAACATTTGCAATAACTTTTGGAATCAACCCCATTTAAGATGGAGGTCACAGCTAATTGACTTTAGCTACATAAACATAGCTCTTGCTTAGTTTTGCAAACAGTAAGCTAAATTTTTATGTGGTAGTAGCTGAGAGTCATTTTAAATTCATAAAGAACAGATTAAGTGTGATTTTTTAATATCACGTGAGACTGTGCTAAGCAGTATTTTTCTACTTTTCACAAGTGGCTACAATTTAATCATTTCCTGACATATGATGGTCATTTTCCAAACTTAGATGTGAAAGGTGGCAAGGCTGTGTACCTCTGTGTACCTCTGTGTATCTCTGTGTACCTCTGTGTACCTCTGTGTATCTCTGTGTATCTCTGTG